ACCGCAGGTCCGAGGGCATTCATACGGGCGCGATGTGAGATTGATCACAGGGACCCAGGCCCCAACCGGACCATTAGAATAATCTTGGGTCAACGCCCAAAAGACACCCCCCCCCGCCTCGGCGGGTTCCCTGCCCCCGGAGCGAGGGCGAGGAGAGGAGCCGGGGGCGAGGGCGGAGGCCGACAGGTGGGGGCGACTCCCTGTTGCTTCCGCCTCCGGGGCGGATTCGGTGAGCTCTGCCCCGGGGCGGGCGGCGGGGACTGTGTGCCCCGCGGAAGCCCCCCTCGACCGGCGTACCGGGCCCCTGCCGCACTCCGACCCGAAACTTTCATGTTTCTACTAAAGGCCCGACGGGTGGGAGAGAGATCGCGAAGGTACCCGGAGGGTGCCCGCGGAGGGAGGGGACCTGGGTGGGGACTCGGGTCTCGTTGATCCGGGTCGCGCTCCCTTGGGAGCCCAGCACCCACGTGCGGCCCTTCCTGCTCTTCGGGTGAGACTGGGCGGAGGTGTGGCTCAGGGGTCTGTCTGCCCAGGGTCGTGCAGCTTTTCTCTGCTGATCGAAGGTAAGCACAGGGTCTCCCCGCTGGGATCCGTGTTCCTTTCGGAACCACGACCGGAGCCCTAGCCCTGGCCTCCCGCCCCCAGTCTCCAGACCCTGGTAGTCCGGCAGCGTGGGGGGTTTGGAGTCAGCCTGAGAACCTGTTACACCAGCCGCCAGCCCCAGCGGGCAGCCCTCTGCCGGTCGGGCCGGTCCAGCTTCCGCATCTGCCCAGGCTCTGCTTGGGCAGGCCACCAGGAGGCCCAGCCCGGAGCAGGGTGAAAACTCCAGGCTTGCACTGCCTCCACGTCCCGGGGCACACACGTGGTGCTGTCAGCTCTGAACCAGACCTGAGAGCTGTTCCATCGCACAGACACCGCGATTTCAATCCTAGGGAACGTCTCTGTTTTCCCCACAGTGAAACAAACTCTCTCTTCAACTACACAGTCAGCCTTGAATTAATTGATGTACTTTGTTTACAACCTCCCTTCTCCTCTCACAGGTCATCATCACAGAGGCATGAACAACGCCTTTAGCAAGCCTGTAAGGAGCAGGGCTCCTGACCCGGGCAGGAATGCAATTGAATGTGAATGTTCCCCTGACTGGCTGTAGAAGAGAAGCAGTATTGGACACGTTTTGAATTAGCCACAGATGATTAGAAATGAGTATTAGTGAATGGCAATAGTGACTAAACTATCTGGATTCTGAACTACTTTACTTCAATACAATGTTCCAGTTTTTGGTCAATTAACTTATTGATTCTCCACTCATTATCCAAAACTATTCTCTGCCTTCTCTGCCCTGCTCTGTGCCCCAAAGGCCTATAGGCATTATTAATGGCTCTTCGCCAAAAGGGGTGCCAGCTACAGCCTGGAGCCCACGGAGAGAGGCTGGGATATTTCTCTCCTCTCTGTCCTGACCGCACCTGGGCCTGGCAGATCTGTATGCCTCTGTGAGGACAGTTCTTATGGGGCTTCCTTTTCCATTGCATCATGTCAGGCTCCAGGTGCTACAGTTCTCTGCCCCATGCCTCTTAAGCCTGGGGAAGTGATGTCTGCCTCCCGTTGTTGCTGGTCCCTGGGTAACAGCATCCTTTGGTGGGCTGTTGAACCATGACTGCACTGCAGCAAATGGTCCCTTCATCACATTCTCTTCCAAATGTCCTCCCAAGAATGCCTTCTGCTTCCTGCCAGGACCCTAACCGCTAGAGTGGGGTTTTGAGTAGCCTTCTACCTTGCAAACTGACATTTGGATGGGGTAGATGTGTGGAAGAACAGAAGCAGAGATCACTTAAGGCTGCTGGGTAAAGGCTGCCTGTCTTTCAGGAGTATCTGTTTCATTCCATAGTAAATGTTAATTTCATGTTGTAGTAGACACCATGGTTACCAGTGCAGCAACCATGTCCTTTTTTCTTGCTGGCAGAAACCCACCTTGGTCCAAGTGTCCACCTCCTACATGGCTAGGGTAAACTGGTTCATGTAAGCTAATCTTGGTAACTCCACTTTTCCTGTAATTAGTTTAAAACAAGTTTAAGCTAATGAATCCTGATGTTGGGAAAAGTTTCCTCACTCTTAAAAAGGCATAGAAAGAAGAAATATTCCTGGATTCCTGCTGGATGTTGTCTGTCTGGATGTGATGTCTGGCCTTTTGCAGCCTCTTACATCCATGACAGGTCACCTGAGGAACTCTGGGGATGACAGCGTGGAAAGTGGGAAGACCATGGGTCCTTAATAAAACCATTGAACCATTAACCAAATCTGCTGCGGCCCTAACACGGGATTTCATATCATGAAGATAAGAAATATCCTTATTGAGTTGGATTTTTTGGTTACTAGTGGCTGACAGCATCTTAACTTTAAGCCTATGGAAACAAACCAGTGAAGACTCCATTTAAGTAACAGAAAACCCAACTCCCCCTGAGAATCATTTATTTCTGTGTAATAAGCCATCACACACTGGGGAGCTTAAATAACATGAGTTATTATTTCTCAGGGCTCTGTGGTTTGGTGACATGGTTCTTCTACTCCACCTGGTGTTGGTTCAGATGGCTTCAGTCATATGTCAGCATTTGAGCTGGGTGGCTGGGAAGCTGGGAGCAGGTTGGCCTCTCTCTCTTCCCATGGTTTCTCATTAGTGGTCTAGCCTGAGCTGCTTTCCATGACAGCTGGGTCCCAAGAGGGTCAAAGAAGACGAGATACCACTGCTGAAAACCTGAGCTGGGAAGTCCCAGAATATCACTTCTGTCACATTCTGTTGGGGAAAGTAAGTTCCAATGACAGCCCAGGTTCAAGGGAGGGGCAGAATAGATTTCACTTCTTGGTGGGAAGAGGACCTCGTACATAAAGGGATGAAGAATTTGTCAGTGGCCACCTTTATAAATAATCTACCATAGATAGACTTATACAATAATGGAATGTGTTGGTGCAGTGTGGGAATATATCGGCAATATCACAGTAAGTTCAAAGTGCAATGGCTGCCAGAGACTCCAGGGTCTACATGTTTCTTCACTCACATCCAAAGGGAAAGAGAATTTTCTCTCCAATTGGAACAGCTAAGTCCTGCGCCCATTCCTGGCCAATCAGTCACTAGGCTGTTGGAATGCATCGGATGATTGCCTTAGGCCTGGGTTGAGTGAAAATCCCTGGCTAGTAAATATCCAAGGGGAATTGAATAATCTTAATCAGCTTTGGGTTCTCGGGACCTATCCCTGACCCACTAGCAGTATGGATGCTTCACCATTGTGGTTTAATGTGATACATCAGGAGGAGGAGGCAATAGATAGGATGCAAACCCCAAAACTTAAATGAAACTGTGGGTCTGCAGCTGGATGCTCAGGCTACATCCACACCCACACCTGTGCACAGACTCATAAACACCTGCTCGCCACTCCTTCCCTTCACCCCAGAGGGGACTAGGATGGAAATCAGAAATCTTGGATTCATTGACTTCTAAGTGAAAATAAGGGAGAGTCAAAAAGTAAGGTCTTACGGCAAGGGCAGTTCAAAACAATTATCAAATGGTAATGAGGCGGGGGGATCATTGTTACTGGGCCCTCAGATAACAAACCTGAAGCTAAAACTGCTGATTGAAAACACACAACAGGAAAGTGTGGGTTATTAACATGTTTATTTTCAGGTAGGAGAAAGAGAAAGTACCATAGACTAGGGGGCTTGACCTCTTCAGATGAGCACCCTTGCTCTTCCAAGCTGGTGGAGCATTCTACACCTTTTGTGGGTCACTCTTACCACAGGTTCAGAATTATGTCAGTGCCATCTTCCCATGATTGGTTCTTCAATGGCAGAAACTCTTATTTTCTGTACCTCACACAGGCTACCCTCTCAACTCCTTTATCCCTTTTGACTGGAATCTTCTACCCCACTCCTTGTGTGTCTCACAAAATCCTACTCATCCTTTGTAGTCACACTTGAATGTCATTTTCCTATACATCTTCCTCAGTTCCCTCTCAGTTACACCTAGTTACTCCCTCCCTTAGCACACTTAATGACACCACATAGTGTCACTTAGTTATTTACCCCCTGGACCCCTCCTGCCAGCCTAGACATTGTTTATTTAATTGGTCTAGAGTGGGCCCAAGCATCAGCTCTTTTTGCAAAGCTCCCAGGTGCAAATTGTGAGACCCACTAATCTAAATGTCTGTCTCCCTGCCTGAGTGTGAACTTGTTGAGGATGACTTCGATTCTTGATTCCTTTTTACCCCCCCAGGGCATAGCACAGTTCCTTGCAAACATAATAGGTACTGAATAAATGGTGAAAAGATTAAATGTACCTTAACTACTATTTCATCCACTAAGCTTTATTGTGGTAGAATAAAGGGAAGGCACAAAGTTTTAGCATGTGCAAGAGAAAAGGTGTACAGGGAAGTCTATCCAGAATGGATACCTGTAACCCTGCAGGAATGCTGTGGGGAGCGAGGTCTTGGGTAAGAAATGTCACTGAGGCCATCTTACTCCACCACGCTCTATCAGTGCATTTTTCCTGGAATGTGTTGATGAAACATTGTCTCCCACGCCTGGGAGGGGCTTGTGGGGCAGTGCCACTGAGTTAGTTACCTTTGAAAGTTTAGATTAACTTGGTCATTACACAGGTATGAAAAATTGGGTATGTTCACATTTCATTATCATTCTTAATCCAAAATATGTGAATAGCACGAGTGGCAATCACAAAGAATTAGCAAGATTTCATCTTCCAGGTAGTGTTAGTATGATCTCTACCATGAAAATCATCACCAAATCCTGTGATTCCAGGTCATCCATAGGTTTGATTGTCAGGGGATCTCATATTTGCCCCTTTAACATCCATTCTGAGAGGCCATGCATTCTTTGATTGTATGTCTTTGAGATGTTTTTCTCCTCCGTCAGTCCTCTATCGCTTCAGGGATTGAGACATAGGTCAGGAGTGAGTCCAGGATGATCACAGTCTCCAGGCCCTTTCCCTCCACAGTGGGGTGCTCATTGCACAGAGGGGGCCCATTGTACACCTCACAATGGGTAATCATGCAAAGGGATTGCTTTCCCCAAATGAACCTAATTAGGATTCATTTTGCTTCTCAGTTTCCTATTTTCTCTTAGTTTTTTTTCGGTGAGAATACATGAAAGGAAAATATGCTAAGAATTTGTTTCTCTTTCCTTATTTATTTTTTACACCCCCTTTCCTACGTTGTTTTTTTGTTTGTTTTGTTTTGTTTTTTGTTTTCTCTAAAAAGATCAATTATGTTCATTCAAGTTTTCTTTCAGGGATAAAAATAAAAACCTGAGTTCTGAAGTGCTTAAAATTACCAATAAAGTCACTAACGCAATTTGCTGCTCTCATTTATTTCAACAAAAACTTTAAAATATTGTTCCTCCAAAGTAAATAAAATCATAGGATAGCTGAATTAGGAGTTAGACAATAATTAGAAATTTAGCATTGTTCCAGGTAATTTGTACCTTTGCTTTCACAGGTCACTTTGATGTTACATAACATCACTTTACTGCATATTCTATTTATGAACTCTTTTTAAAAATATATATTTTTATTGATTTCAGAGAGGAAGGGAGAGGGAGAGAGCTAGAAACATTAATGATGAGAGAGAATCACTGATTGGCTGCTTCCTGCTTGCCCCACCCTGGGGAGCGAACCCACAACCCAGGTATGTGCCCTGACCGGAAATCGAACCAGCAACCTCCTGGCTCATAGGTCGATGCTTAACCACTGAGCCACACCCTCCGGGCATAAACTGTTTAGAAAACTAGGAAAATGCTTTCTCTTGTCCCTTTGTTTTTATAAACAAAGACAAAATGGTTTCCCTTAAAATATCATTGATCATAATTTCTAAGAATATTTTATCAGTTTTAACTAGAAATGAACAGATTCTAATCAAAGAGGCAAAAGAACACTAACAAATTTAATGGTTTTGAAGACGTTCTGCTGAGTGAAATAAGCTAGACAGAAAAGGACAAATGCTGTGTGATTCCACTGACATGAGGTCCCTACAAAAATCACATTCGCAGAGGCAGGAAGAATAGTTGTTTCCTGGGGGTGGGGGTGGAGGTGGGAACTTAGTGTTTAGTGGATGCAGAGTTTCATTTGGGAAGATAAAAAGAGTTCTAGAGAACTCCCCACATCCAGTGGGAGGTGCTGAGAGGCCCGGTTGGGGTTGAGTAGCACCTGGGATGAAGGTGCTTGGGTTCTGGCCCACTGAGGGAGAGGTTCACCCCAGCACCCCACCCCTTTAGGCCCAGCTTCCTCACA